AAGGGTTACTCAGAAAAAAGAAAATACAAAAATACCTCACCAATCTTTTCTTTAAGTAGAAAGAGTGTTCTTAAATATCGTCTGTATTTGCTGTTCTTCAAGAATTAGACATGCCAGTCAACAAGATGCTTCAGCAGGTAAGGGAGCTTTCTTTCAGTCCTAACTACTTGAGTTCAATCCCTGGGAACTCACACGGTAGAAGAAAGGAACTTAGTACTGCAGGATTGCCTTTAATCTTTACAAACACACACACACACACACACACACACACACACACACACACATGAAACAATTGTAAAAATAAAACTTAAAGAAGAACACAGATAATTTGAACTTTATTTTTATAAGCATATTTAACAAAATATATAAACACATTGTCTAAAATAGTATGCATAACCTAAGGATCACAACATTTTGTTGTGGAACATTTACACTGTGTGAAGATGTGTCACTCTGATTGATTTAATAAAAGCTAAATGGCCAATAGCTAGGCAGGAGGGTACAGCAGGGACTTTTCGACAGAGAGCACTCTGGAAAGAAGAAAAGTGAGGCATCAGTGGGACACAGAGAGAGCATGGCATGCAAAAGGAAAGATTAAAGCCATCTGGCAATATGTAAATGAATACAAATGGATTAACTTAAATTATAAGGGCTGGTAGGACAAGCTGAGCTTTCATAATTAACAATAGGTCTTCATGTCATTTTTTTGTGAGCTGGAAACCAAAAGAAAAATGTGTCTACACATTTTTTCTGTAGAAAAAAATCATTTATATGTATAAGAAAAATAATGATTTGTTGAACTAAGAAGGAAGCTAAGTACCTACTTCCTGAATGTAGATGCAATATACCCAGATGCTTCATGCTCATGCCATCACATCTTCTCAACCATGGTGGACTGTAGTCTCAAACTGTGAGTCAAAATAAACCCTTCCCTCAGGAAACTGCTTCCTGAACATAACACCAGTAGTACAGACACTAAGATCAACAATGGGATCTCCTGAAACTGAGAAGCTTCTGTAAGGCAAAGGACACAGTCAGCAAGACAAAACGGCAGCCGACAGACTGGGAAAAGATATTCACCAACCCCACATCTGACACAAGGTTGATCTCCAAAATATACAAAGAACTCAAGAAGCTAGTCCCCCAAACACCAAACAACCCAATTAAAAAGTGGGGTACAGGACTAAATAGACAATTCTCAATAGAGAAATCTAAAATGGCTGAAAGACACATAACAAAGTGTTCAACATCCTTAGCCATCAGGGAAATGCAAATCAAAACAACTCTGAGATACCATCTTACTCCTGTCAGAATGGCCAAAATCAAAA